AAGACACGTGCTGCTTGGACTCCAGGATGAACTCATTACGTTGCTTCCTGGCACATACCCGACTGTGCTTGTTGTTGGAGGAGCTCGGGGCCTCCATGTTGCTGAGGACAGCTGTGGTGCCTTTCAGGATAGCCCTGGTCTTTGTTGTGTGACTTCTCGGCTCCAGTGTAGAACCCTCCGCCCACTAGCACAGCTCCTTCATCCTGCTGGCATAGACTTTCTGGCTTCCACTGCTGATCCTTGGGTCTTCCTGGCACGGATCCATAAAAGAGACTGGCTTAAGTCCTTCTTGTGGGCTCTGGGCCTCCAGTTGGACTTGTGGGAGGCATTGTCCTGAGCTCTGGGTTTTTATCTGGACTCATGTGGGACATTGCTGTGGGGTTTAGGCTCTTGACTAAATAATCTATGTCTTTGGTGTTGCGGATAGATTTCCTGCGTTTTCCTGTGTTAACTTCCGGTGACTATTATAAAAATATTATAAACTCCATGTCCTAATCCTAGTTGTTCTCTGTGTACAACCCCTGACTACAACAATGGTCAGGTTTCACCCACAAGTGCTCAGAATCAGCATTTCAAGTCTGAGTAGAGGTGGCACTGCACCTCTGCCCTGCCAGCTGTGAAGGGGACAGAGCCGGGTGGGATGGGAATGTGAGAGGGAGGAAGCTGGCTCATAGGACCCCCTGCCTTTGGTTACCACCAGGCAGCTTAGGGGTCGGGCAGAACGGCAGATGTGACAGAAACGGAGACTGCAGGCAACATGTGCTGGAGTGCGGTGAAGGGGGTCCAAAGACTCAAAGCACTGAGCTCCAAGTAGCGTAACAACAATGTGACTCTTAAGTCGAATCAGTTTCTTTACTTCCCCTGCGTTACTTCCTGGCTCTCATACAGAAGAAACAGAACCACCCTGAATTCAGTGCTTTATTCCTATAGATCAGCCAGGCAGTTCAATCATGCTGCAGGAAAAAAACAAGTTACTATCTTTCTTGAAAACAGAATTAATGCTTGAAGTAGCAACTGTTGTAAACATGTAAAAATTACTAACAATGTCCTCAAGGAAATAAACAGCACAATGAACTAAATAATAAAACTGAATTTTGTTATAAAATCACTGTTTTTTTAGACTGGCCACTGACAATCCTCTAATCTTGAAGAACTGGTATAATACTCTTTTACAGAAATTTCCAGAGAACACTACACAAACCCTGAAATAAAAACATTCTCAGCAGTGTTTTTCTTGGAAGCAAGTTTTCAATGCTAGCCAAAGAGAATATTTAAAGAATCCCCCAACTGCCCTGGAGACAGGGTGAGAAGGAGGAAGGGTGCGGGGGTGTGGAGAGACAGAGATAGAGGGAGACAGGGACAGAGAGAGATCTCTTTTATAGCGAAGTCAGTGTGATCTTTCTTCAGGCAGCTAATACAGACACTTCACGTCTTGACCCTAGGGGAAATGGCAACCTGTGAGTTTCATATCTAAAGTTACATACAAGTTGTAGGTGGGCACTACACTGGGTATTTTAAGCTTCAGACATTACATGGGGTGGCTTTCTTATGGTGTAGCAACCACTTTCTTTCAAAGAAATACATCATGCTGGTATTACTGAATTTCTTAAAATAAGGAGAGGATCCAGGCGAGAGGTGGCAGCACTAGATGGCTTGTGAAAAAGGGAAAATGCATGAGCATCGGTGCCAGGGTGGCTTTAAAACAGCACGGAGTAACCTCAGAGTTGCGGAAGTGGTCATCATCTTGGGCACCTGAAGGGCCAGTGCAGGCCGGCTGCCTGTGCTCCCGGGCTGCACTGCTCCCCAGCCTCACCCTGGTTCCCGCCCCCAGGACGGACCCCTGGCTCTGGTCTCCTAAGTGCCTGTCACAGACTGATGCAGGTCTGAGGCAAAGTATTCGCCGGCCCAGGACAGAACGACCCTTTTGAAGGCAATGATGTCCTTTTGTATATAAACAGAAATAGCTGTTAAAAGCAGATAATAGCTGGTTTTTATAGCTTTTTGCTGGGGTGAGGGGTGGGTTGTTAGGTTGTCAGTTTTGTTATAAGGCAGTACCCACTAAGCTGTGCTGTGGTCCTTCTTAGGTGCCACAGGACCCTAGAGATGCTCACATGGAAGGGGCCTGACCCTGCCAAGGCAAGGGGCCATAACGGCCCAGCACCAGGCAGCATAGTGGCGTCTGCTGCCTGCAGCTGGGGACAGAGGGCAACTTGGCGACGGTAAGGCCTGTGGGATCCCACACCAGCAGCACTTCTCTGGACTCCTGCTGTGTCGTATCACCTCCTACTAGCACCTATTGCAGCCGGGGCCTGGGCTTCCTTACAGCTTTGGGGCTTCTACTCCTATCTAATGTCAATGTGTGCATAACGCTGACTTAGGCATTCTGAAGGACAATGTAGGAAAATAGAAATACAAAGGAATCTCTAAACAGAGCCGTTTGTAAATATTTACAAATATGAGACATGTGTGTTTTTAGTGTAACATGTAAGCTGGTGTTTTCACTGTTTCTTTTTCTCTTGACAGCTTGCTGCTTTCTGCCCTCAGAGTGGAAGGAATCTCATATCTGGTAGGGTAGCAGGTAAATATAATCTGTGAAGCTGACAGGTGTTGGATCTATAGAAGGACTGTGGTTTCATCAGGGGCCTAATAAAGATAAATTCAGGACAGGCGCTCCAGCACTATTTGGAATCAGGTTTCCCCCAAGATTCTAATTGACCACGCTCCTGTTGCACATGCTCCAGAGGAAGGCTCTCTGCTCCAGGCTCCGTGGGTGTCTCACACTGGCTGATCTGTGCCTTTGAGCCTGCACCAGGGTGGCTCCACTCCAACCAAAGCTCCTGCACTGCAGGGAAGCAGGGCTCCTGAGGAATCGACAAGCAACCACGTTGCGCAGGCACAGCTGACCATCCTACTCCCCTCCTCGGGGTGCTCCCTTAGCGACCGCTCATGCTGCACTCCTGAAATAGCCCTCCCCATGTCCATAGGCCTAAGGTCAGGTGCTGGCGGCTACTCTTCTGCAGGCTCAGGAGCCTGGCTCCGTGCTCCCGCCGTAGTCCACAGGTGCTCACTCTGGGTCAGGCCGGATGTTCCTAGGATTGACTTCCTCTGGCTCTCAAAGCTTTGTGAAAGCTCTTCCTGGTTAAATTCAAGCCCATTAAAAATGATCACAGTGCCACCACCCACACTCTGCTGCTCTTGTGGAATTAGCAGTACACCCAAAAGCATCGACATTGTAACCCCCAGTCTGTGCATGCACTGCCACTCTCAGCGGCCCTGCTGTGATGAGCACTGGGGTACCCTGCACAGTCTCAGTGACAGCCATGGGTGAGGTGCAGCCATGGCTGGGTAGGTGCTGAGCTTCACATGCAGAGAAGAGGCCCAGCTCTGTGCATCTCCCTAATCTGCCTTTGCTGCTGTTGCCCTAGAGGATGACACCCTGTCTGTTGCGGACTGAGATAGTGCCACACCTGCAGAGCACTCCGGGGAGCTGGGACCCTGCATCTTTCACCCGCACATGGAGCCCGCCCTGTCTAATGTGGTTATCTATGGCACAGACCTTAGCGTGCTGATCTTGCATGTGCCTTGTTAGATTGGTGACGGCAGATACTTCAGTGCTGACTTTGTAACCCTGGTCCTGACAGCCTGTCAAGCCAGGGACTAGCTCTGTGAGTTTTCCAGGCAATGTGTGCAGTTGTGCTACATGCAGCATTTCTTCCTTTCTAGTCTCAGTTTGCTTTTTGTTCCTCTGTGGCGCACGCACTTCTGTTACTCCTTGCGTGACTGCAGTTTGGCGCTGCCCTCTCCAGGCTAGACTCTGCTCTGAATAGGACCACTGTAATAGTTTCTCTGACTGCCACTATGCTCTTCTCCAGGGACTGCACACAGTATGACCATGGCCTAAATTTGTGTGCAGTTTGATTTCCACGTGTGATAAGCAGGACAGCACCAGCTGGCACAGAGCAGCGGTGTACAACCACGGAGAGGTCTTCCCAACTCAGCAGTAAATGCTACATCCCTTGTCTGTGCTTTTGGGCTGATCAGTCCCAGAGAAGAAGACACATAGATACATAGCTTCGTGAAAGAGAGGATGGTTTTCCTCTGAAATAAAATGGAGGAGGGGTGACTGATCAAGATACAGAGACGTCCTGAATTAGAAAGAAACCCTTGAGTTCACGCACTGAAGCTGGTTATAAACTGTATTTCATACAAATAAACACAAAGCAGTGCTAATACATAATTAGGTAAAATGATCCCTAACTGCAAACAGTTCCTTTTTTTAGTATATCAATTTTTCATATTTCACAACTTTAATCATGAATCTCTTGTAATCAAGCTACAGGGTTATGACATGGGAAAAAGACTTTTAAGCCAGTCTTAAAAGTCCATCTGTAGTCTGCACAGTGTAATTCTCCTGGTTTAAATTAACACAGAATTAATACAATACATTGTGAGGAGGAGGAGGGCGATGGAGAATTGGATGCAAAGTAGTATCAAGCACCAAGTGATGACAGGTTCATCAGAGAGGAGCTGCAGTGACCAGAGGTAGAGGCCAAAGTGAGAACAGAAGGACAACAGATCACGTCAATTTCATGACTTAGGAAATGACTATGTATTTTTAAAGGTGTCTTTAATATGCAGAAATAAGGACGAATGATGTTATGGGTAGACATGCACAGACGGAAGCATACACAAAAGGGATGAAAGGGACACGTTTCATCCTAAGTAAATCCATCTGTAAAAACAGTTGCTGGATCCCTTCCACTTTTCAAGCCTTTGGTGGCACTGGTCAGGCTATTGTTTGTTCAAATACAGAGCAACACTCAGTTGAGTGTGAGGAAACGACTTGGTATTTGCAGCTCGTGTCTGTTCTGACACCATTTCTACCTACAGCTCTGCGGGTCCTGCCCCCACGGCCTTCCCCTCCTCCAGCCGGAGGGTCCCTGCTCCTGGAGGCACCCCTCAGGGAGAACACACCCGTCCGAAGTCAAGCACAGGCTTACCCACTCATAGGAGAGCACCCAGCAGCCTCGTGCGATCCCCAGCAGCACGTTGAGCGTGCGTAGCGGCTTCCCGGCCAGCACATGTGTGGTGCTCTCGCAGACTTCCGGCGCCACAGCAAAGCCTTTTAGGGTGTCCACCACCTGCATGACAATGCTCTGCTCCCTAGCAGGAGGAAACAAAACCCCTGATGTGCATGTCTGCTGCTGGCAAACATCAAGGCATGAATACTGAATGATAATAAAAACTGGGCAGTGAAATTTTACACTGGCTTGGTTACAGTGCTCATGTCTTCCTGTGTTAATAATTAGTAACATGAAATTTAGGGAAATTAAAAAAATCCTGCAGATCCCCATTTGAACTCTCATAAGAAACAAGCCTGAGCTTCCCTGGGCCACTGGCAGGGGAGAACTCGCAGGAACCAGGCCCCGCCCACGACCCACGCGGCCCTCCCCCACACCAGCTCTTGGCTTCCCAGGCACCTGGGGGCAGGCCACTGCAGTCAGGACCAAAGCTCTTACTTACTTATTTTATTCAGAAAATGCAACATTTGGGGGGGGGGTTCTATCAAGACAGAAAAATAGCCTTTTTATTAACTATATCAAATATTAAGGCAAACCTGACAGTGTCGTGTGGTTTCATAAGGTCCATTACTGCGTAGCTTCCAGTCTACTGCTCCTGTAATGTGGCAGGTGCATTTCTGTTTTGCTTTCTTTTTTTTTTTTTTTTTTTTTTTTTGTCTTTTTCCTTTTTATCGGTACTGGAGATCGGACTCATGATTGTCTGCTTGCAAGGCAAGCGCTTATGCCGCTGAGCTAAATCTCCAGCCCCTGTTTTGCTTTCTAAGACAGCCTTTCTATCTAACAACCTTTCTAAGCAACTCCAGGTTCTCCCTCTTCTTACAACAACCTTTCCAACAGCTCCAGGTTCTCATTCTTTGCGTCTCATTTTTCCCTGTAAGGCCTGGAGACCCCCAGGAAGCTGAAGGGTGTGTGAAGCCATCTAGGCTGCCCTGTGGCCACAGTGCACTTGGGAGCTGAGAGCCAGGTCTCTCCTCTGCATGGTATTCCCAGAGGACAGAGGCTGCCACTGTCCCTGCGTGGCCCTGCTGTCCCTCAGGCTCTTCCAATACCTCACAGGGCCTCTCAGGTTTTATCTCCAGTACTTGCTCTGCCTGTGAGATTCAGGCTGGAACCACATCCCGATGTCTGATTGTTAGAGCTTGTTGGGTAGAGGAGATGAGGGTGACTGTCAAGATCTGGCCCTGACCAGCTACACTTAGCATCATCCTGAAAAAGTTTAGGGAAAAATAAATGCAAAAAAGAAAAGTGAAACCGAAGACAAAAGCAAAAGGAGGAAGAACCTCTAAACTAGATTTCTAGAGCCCTTCCATTTGGATATCAGATTTTTTCCTCCAAATTGGGCAATGCCCAGCAGTTATGAAACAGTGAGTAACAGCGTCTTTTAAAGACAAGATCCCTCTGTGTGCATTCAAAATATCCAGGTCAAATTCTTACAACACACAAGAAATCCAAGATAAAAAAGAGTGAGAATAGGTCTGAAGGTAAAGTTTTCTTTTTGAAACTTTTAAAGAGAAAATTGTCATTAACGTTTTTAAAGTTCAAATAGGGATTTTAAAAGCTATCATGCACATACTGAATCCTAAATTCTGTAGGAGACTGTTTACATGTTTGATCTACTTGGTAATACTCGCACAGCATCCTCCACGTGCGAAAGCAATCACAGGCACTCCTCCTGCAACACATTCTTACCCCCATGTCCGATGTTTGATTAATGTCTTAGAACCTCAAAACCTATGCATGATATAAAAGCCATGGTTTTCTCCTTTAACAAGAATTCAAAACTGTGTCATAAAGGCTGCGGCCCTCTGTTTTTGTTGGATGCTCTCTGCTGCTGAGTGTGTGAGGGGGATGGTCCGTGCAGGCCAGCAGGCTGCTAACCCTTCTGCCGGCCACAGCAGTGGCCCTGGCTGCTTGTGATGCCTCCTCCCGCTGCTGCGATAAGCCCCTTAAGGAAAACGCTTCGGGCGGCCTCCCAGTGGGGAGGGTACCTACAAGGTGAGGGGTGGGCACACACAGCCACTAGGAATTAAACAAGTGCCTCAATCCCAAAGGAGTGCAGAGCCTATGAACGCTGCGGAAATGAAGTGTGGTAAACACTGGACGGTGCGCACCAAGCCACAGCTCCTCAAGGGCACCGTCAATCACTGAGTAAAAGGGACAGTGATTTGGGAGACGGGACTTCAGCCTATGAGAGACTGGAGGACAGCGCCAGCAAAGCAAGAGTACTTACTCTGACGACATGCTTGTCATGACTAATGTTCTTGTTGGCTGAGACTGCAAGAGAAGGAACAAAAAACAGTCAAAATACAAAAAGAAACTTTTCCCACAGAAACAAACCTTAAGTTTTTTTTTCTAAAAAGTTACATCATTTAAAAATAAACATTTAAGCATATATCAAAGAAAAAAAACTTTGTATTCCCAGAAAAAACAGCCCAAGAGATAGAAATTTAGATATTATTCTAAAACCAAGCCAAAGTTATAGACTCAAGCAAAGCAGAGGAAACACTAGCCTTCCCTGCTCACCAGGCACTGTCGATCTCTGGCGAGAAGCTGGCTCCACAGTGCAGCAGCTGGGCGTCCCCGCACCCTCAGAGCCCACTGACCAAGAGCCTCTGAGGGGCCATGCAGATCCAACCCATGCAGAAGCCCAGATCTCAATTCCCATACTGGTGTCTATTACCTAGAACTGTACAGTTCCTTAACAGAGTTCAAGTACATTTCACTCAGTAAGAAGTGCACTCTGAATGCAAAAATGTGAGTGCTAATGAAGTATGTATAATTAGAAATGTGAACACAAATGCTCTGTACCTCAATTGGGCCAGAGATGACTGCTTTTCACGACTGGTAACAGGTGCAGCCTAATGTGCACTCGATGGAGTGCCTGTGTACAGAAGTGAATCCCCACTACTCGTGCACTGCTGAGATTCTCATGTGAGACTTCAGACACAGCTGCTCAGGGTAAGACTCGCCCTTGCACATGCACTCCCACTGAAGAGTCCACATACACCAGACTGGAAGAACAAAAGGTGCTACTGTCTCGAAGGGGGAAAAACCATGCATTTGGGGAAGGCAAAGAAAGAGGAGTGAAGGAGGAACACGAATCCAAAAGACATCCAGAGGGAGAACGCTGAGCTAACAGTGCACACATGCATCCCAGCACTCAGGAGGCTAAGGTAGGATGGACCTAACTTTGAGGCCTGCCTGGACTACCCAGCCAGATCCTGTCTGCAGGGCGAGTGCTGACCTAACAGTCGCTCCCTGTCTGGGTAGCCACACCTGGAGCATGCAACTGCTGGCTCTCCCACGTTACAACACCAAAGTGCAGCAACGTCAGCGAGCTCAGGTAGGTCTGGAGACCGGGCCTTTGGGGCAACTCTATGAGCAGCCGAGGCTCACCTGAGCCCAGCCCTGCTCCTGCAGGTCCCTCCTGTGTGGACACCCTGGGTGGTTCTATGAAGCCATCCTAGAGGCACCTGTGGGGCTCCCTCTGTGGGCGCTGCCTCTTTCTGGAGCCACACAAGGGAGGAGGGAAGCATCTGACCCCGGGCCACAGACCAGGCTCCTCTCAGGTCCCTGCCACCAGTGCTGTCGCTCCCTGTGCTCACTCACTGCTCCTACAGGGCCCCGAAGCCTGAACTCTAGCCCCAGAGTTCTGCCTGCTGGCATCTCCACTTGGAGGCTGACAGGGATCTCAAATGTAATACGACCCAAAGGAAATCACAGCTCTCACCAGCTGATTAGAAAAGAAGGAAATGAGAACCAAATTGGAAATGAAGAAGTGACACTACACTCACAGATGAGATGATTTTATATGCAGATGATCCTAAAGAGTCCAGAAAAAACTATGAAAACTAATAATTCCAACAAAACTGCAAGCTATAAAGCCTACACACAAAAGTCAGTAGCATATTTACAAATCAGTCATGAACAATCTGAAAAGGAAATGAAGAAAACAATTATAATATAGCATCAAAAAGGAATAAAACACTTAGCAATACATTTGTAAGAGTAATGCACTTAAAGTAAAAAGAAGTTGCTAAATTAAACATGAACCGAATCAACAGAAATGCATCCTATGCTCATGTGTTAGAAGACTTAATACTGTTAAAATATTCATCCTATCCCAGGCAATGTACAGATTCAACACAAACCCCAGCAAAATTTCAGGGTGCTTTTTTCTTCTTTGCTTGTTTTTGAAGGAATGGAAAAATCCACCCCTAAATACATACAGAACTCCAAGGAATCTCAAATAGTCAAAACAACCTTGGAGGTGAATAACAAGTTGGAGGACTTGTAATTCCCACTTGTAAAAATTACTGCAACACTATATAACCAGAACTGTATGGCACTGGCTAGGGATAGACGGGTAGAAGGACAGAATGGAATAGGACTGAAAGTGTAGAAATACACTCTTGCATCTATGGCCCATTGTTTTGGCGAGGAGGCCAAGAATGTGGTGGGTAAAGAACACTGTCTTCAACAAAGGATGATGAGAAACCCAAAATCCACACAGAAAGAATGAAGCTAGATCTTCAGTGTACCCACATATAAAAGTTAACTCAAAACAGTAAATACCTGAATCTAAGGGTGGAAATGATAAAATTCTTAGCAGAAAAAAGGCAATGATTTCTTAAGGCACCAAAAGAACAGGCCAAGAAAAAAAATTGCTACGTCATCAATACTATTAGGAAAATGAAGACAGCCCCCAAAATGGCACATGATATCTGCCATCATGTACCTGACATGGGCTTAATACTCAGAAATCTAAAAACTACTATGACTCAAAAAAAAAAAAAAAATCAAAACCCCATTTAAAAAGTGAACAATCCAAAGAAAAAGGGAAGAATAGTGAGTAAGTAATTTGAATAAATACCTCTCCAAAGAAAATAAGCAACAGCCACTAAGCATGTGAAAAGATGCCAGCATCACTGGTAACGAGGGGACCTCCTATCAAAGACTCAGCACAAGAAGCCCTGCTCCTGCTGGCTGCTCACCAGGAAAGTGAGCTCAGGTGATGTGACAGAGCGTGCACTGTGAATGCAGCTCGTGGACCTGTGCAAGTCATTTTGGTGGCTACTCAGCAGGTTAGAGGAGAACCACAGAACTGGCAGTTCTTTTCCTCGGTACCAGACAAAGGGTCTGGGATGCCAGAAACCTGTGCATGAAATTTTCCCCAGAGCACGACTCTCAGCAGCCAGAAGACAGAAGCAGCCAGTCGCACACACACACTTTGAGCTGCTGCTGTAAACTCAGCTGGGTAATCTGAGGCCAGGCCCAGCACCTGCTGAGGGCTCTGCTCTGTCTTCTCGTGGCAGCAGGGGAACAGGGACAGCCTAACCCCTTTGTGAAAACCCGTTTTGTGATAAAGAATGCTGTCCTGTGACAGCAGGACACACCCATTCGGGAAGGCTGTGCCATCACCCAGTCACCTTTGTACTTCCTTTTTATTATTATTTTATAGTTTACTTATATTGGAGATGGAATCTGGAACTTTCAGTCAGGCCTTCAGGGATGCACCATCACGCCACCCCATGGCCTCTCACAGGTCCTGCCTGTGAGATCAAGGTTTTCAGCACAGGAAATTTAGGGATACATTTGAGCCACAGCACGACTCAGTGCCACCCTCCAAGAGATAACCAAGCAAACGGCTACCATAACGAGCAGGAGTGGATTTCTGGCCCCTGAACACACTGAGCCACATGAGGGATGCCAGCCATAGAGGAACAGATGCTGCAGCCTCCGGGTTCATGAGACTTCAGAACGGGCACTTGCCAGGGACACTCAGGGGCCAGGCGGACTTGAGACCCAGATTCAGCCGGTCAGAGATCCAGCTGGGGCTGAAGGAAAGGTTTGAAAGCAGCCAATGCCAACAGGGGCCCAACACCGCAAGGACCACGTAGTTACAATGATGAACACAGCAGTGTTTGTCACCACAGTGAAAGAAACCACAGCATTGCTCCGCTGTCCCAAGCCTGCCCCTGCCACAGCCTCACGGGTCAAGGCACCTGGCTCTCAATGAGTGAAGGCGACCTCCCTCATTGCTCGCCCTCGCTGTCCTCTCATTCCACACACGCCCAAGACACTCACTGCCTCAGTTACTTTTCTCCTTGCTGAGACAAAATACCTGACACTTCAGAGTTAAAAGGGGAAAGATTTATGTGGCTCATAATGGGCTGGTTCCAAGGCAAGGAGGAGCATGGCAGAGGGGCATGGACAGAGGCAGCAAAGCAACAAGAAGTTGGTAAAAGCAATGGTGTAGCACTCACACACTTAATCCCAGCATTGAACCATGAATCAACCACAAACTCTGGATTCAGTAACTCAGGAAAAACTCCACAAGCACATGAGGCTTTGGGGGACATCTAGACACAAACCATAACATGACCCCCACTCAGCCTGTCTTCTCATTCTGTACAGGACCCATGACACATCTCCTACTCAGCCTGGCAGATGCCCAGAGTCTGAGCACCCTTCTCCACCACCCTAAATGCCCATCCTCTCCCGCAGGGAAAATGCACTCTGTGGCACGGGTACTCAGGCATTCCAGCAACCCTCCCTGCTAAGATTGGCTTCATCTGTGTCTCTTACTCTATCCCCAGCACCTGGAGCAGTGCTGGGCGGACCAGAAGGCGCTTGTTAGCTCTTCATTATAAAGGGATGAATACAAAGTAGGGAATAAAAGTTGATGTCTACTGACCCATCTTTATATACGAACTTAACATATACACATATGTTCCTTGCCATCTGTTGACCTAGACTCTGAAATGCCATACTCATTAACAAGGTCCAAGCCCAACAACCATGCAGAGATCTGTTTCAGCACCTATGGGACGGATGGCTGTGCCAATTACAAGTCCACCTGAAGCTTGCCCCACGTCCCAGCCGAGCTGAAGGACAGAAACTGTTTTTACAGGGCACTCCAAACCCAAAGTGGAAAGAAAAAATATGCAGAAGGCAGGAAAACAAACTTACATCGTGTATCCATATCCTCTGACTTGCAGATGTCTGACAGGAAATGTAGGAGACTAACGCTCCCTGCATACGGCCCTGCTGCAGGACCCAGAAGAGGTGAGCATCACCCTCGGCACACAATGCCAGCTGATTCCAAGGCAGACGGCCCGTGTCAAAGCTGTGAGGCGGGTGGGCCATCACCCGAACTGCACTGATGAAGTGAAAAGTGATCTATAATAGCACTAGGCACATCTGCTTACTTATCTTACAAGGGAGGGCTATGAAAGCCCAGTGTGACGCATTTGATTAACCAAAGGAACTCC